AGTGGGCCTGTCACTTGGTGGAGTCTCTTACACATCTCCTTCTCCAGTGAAATCCAGGCAGACTTCCAGCTGAGGAGTTTACTCAGCTGAAAAGAAGGCTGCGGGTGGAAGCCCTGCTAGAAGCATTAGTGGATGTACTGTCTTTGGCTGGAGCCAGTTTGCTGAACCTTCCTCTCAGACTACACACGAGTGACCTCCCTTCTGCCATCTCCCATCGCTTTTCTCTCTCTGAAAGTTACTCGTGGGTGTGACTTGGCTTGTGGCATCATATTCAATTAAGTGCCTAAAACCAAACAAACACAAACCTATCCTGGGAGTTATCTGAAGAATTAGTTTGTACTCTGGTTTGCCTGTCAATAAAGACTGCTCAGTGCCGTCTCCCTGGATTCCCTAGAGATGTTTCTTTCCTTAATTGGTGGTTAAGCATTGACAGACAGGTTTGGTCTAACCTCTTCACAGACCTTCACCAAACTGCCGTGTAACAGCTGCTTTGGAGATGCACTTGATCTGACATGGACATGTTAAGACATATTTAGCAGAATTTTCTTTTATTTTTTAAGAAAGACATGGGTAAACATGGATCAGGACTTTGGTTTGCTTTAGAGTGCCTGTATCTTTGTTTTGAAAGGTACTGCCCTTTTTGTGGTCTTGTATGACATTTAGTTATGTTCTCCAGTAAATAATCATCTACAAGTGATGATGGATTTTGGTGTTTTCTGAATAAAACGGTAAAACTCTACTGTTCTTTTCCTTTCACTGAAAGCAGGCTGAATGAGCTGTTGCTGACTCGTAAGGGTGTTGTGGGACATCTCAGAAATGGGTACACGGAGTTTTTCGTATTTGTGTACTTTAAACATAAAATGAACAATTAAGGAAGGCATCTTGAATGGGAACAGCTCACCACAAAGGAAGTAACGGATGCTTCGTTTTGCACGTTTGGAGTTGGTTCCAGGTAGACAGTGGTTTCTTACAAGGGTTTGAGACAACAGTGAGCTTGGAGGTAAGGGAGAGCAGAAGGAAGGAAGTGAACTTCTGAACTATTTGGTAAGTCTGGTCATTGTGAATGTACGAGCTTTGGTTTATCTAGACTATGGAGCTATTATATATGGATTCTTCATCACATGTAATCAAGTTTCTAAAACTCTTTTCTGAGTACTGCTGTATGCTCCAGCTTCCACAGTCTGTAAAGAAAATGCTTTGGAGTTGACTAGTATTGATAGTTTCCAAACTAAACCCACAGTTTTACAGCCTAGACTGAGCATGACCCAATTAATGTGAGTAAGCCTGACTTTGTAACCTAAGTTCTGCCGAGTTGAGGCAAAATGTGTGGTCCGGTTCAAAATGACGTTTTTTAGACTGGAATTTTTTTTTTTTAGTTTGTACTTGGAATATTTGGGCCATGTCGTGCAGGTCATGAAAATCTGCTAGTAGAAACAATTTCTGTGGTCTTGCTTTAGCTCTCAGCAGCTGCAAAAGGTGAAAAAGAAGCTTGTGCTGCACATGGTGATTTGACATTCAGGCTTCAGCGGTGTGAATAAACCCTTTGATATCAGTGCCGATGGGCATTTTGCAGGTTCAGTGGTGATACCCATGGGAAAGGTTCTTTTGTAAACTGAGCCAAAGCTTTGGAAAGGGGCAGAGCATGGGACTCTTCAGGAAGCTTCTGTCTGACGTGCTCCAGTTCCAGCACAAGGCAGTTGTGGAAAGACTTACACAATCTATTGAGAAGACGCAAAGTGGCTGCCTGTACTAATCTAGCAGAGAACTGACGCTGATGTGGAAATGAGGGGTTTGTTTTTGTAAGAGGACATGTGTAGTTGTTTGCATTAGCAAAATTGTGAAATATATTTAGTGATGAATTTTTGTTTCTTTTCTTGAAATGGGGAGAAGATGCTGAAGTGAGAACGAGGTACACACTACCCATTTCTATTCAGTGGAAGGCTTGCCTCGGTCTCGTGTGTCTGGCTGCCTTCTGTGGTTTCCCTGCACAGCCTGGCTCTATGACAGACTGTCTCTGACCTCTTCGTCGCGCTCTCTCTCCCCTCCTCCTCTCAGAAGACTGCTCTTAGCTGACGTGGCACAGCCCTGACCTCGGGCCCTTGGTTTAAGTATCCTGAAGTAAAGCAGACACAAACTCGGTTCCATCCAAACTACTTCTTGCTGATAACTTTTCTCCCCAAATGTGGTTAATGCGGTTTCTCGAACCAGTCTCTGAATTTGAAGGTATTTTCCACGTGATTGTTGCTGGAACTGTAATTTTCTTTAAAAATCAACTTATCCTTGAATGTGTGAATCCCCCCAACCAAACCCACTAAACCCAACCAGCTGAGAAAAACCCTAAAGAGTATATTCTGAGCAGACCTTAATGTTGTCAGAGGCCCAGCAGGTATGAAGGTGCTGTGTGGAGCGTGCCAGGCTTGGTTTCAGCAGCGTAGGAGTAAGGCAGCCTGTGCTGGGAATTAAGCAAATCAGTAGCCTGGAGTATTTTTTACTAGCTCAGGGCCAAGTGCATAGTTTCAACTGGATTTATGCTGTTGAATGAATGTCAGGGTAAGGTGGTTTCAAGCCTTAACATGGTATTCCCACAAAAGGAAGAGGTCAAACATGTTGCTTCATCCTGCTATGAAGTCAAGTGACAGACTATGGAACAAGACTGTTGTTTTAGGCTATTACACTTCCCTTGACTATCATCTCAAATTTTGTGAAAATCTGAAGTCTCAGGCCCAAGAATAAATTAAGTATACCTTTCCTAGCTTCTTTAAATACCTTGAAGGTCCTCCCGCAGTTCTTGCTTTCATGGACTTTTCTTTCCTACCTGTAGCTTACTTTTACATGGTACGGTTCAAACAAGATCTAGCAAATGTCAGGGTTTGAAGACAACTCACAACCTGGAGCTGCTGGTCTAACTGAGCCACCCCCCTCTATTAAGAGCCTGGTGCTGCGGAACATCTGGCTTCACGTTTCCTAAAACACCCCTTTGCAGCTAGGAGAATGAGCCCAGGTTACTTCATTAAATGTAAGAGAAATCTTGCAGGCTTCATTTGAATTGGAGTGCACTGCTGTGGAAAAAGGAGATGGCAGGAAGAGTGCAAGAGTAGCTGTGGGCTGAGTTCATCTGCACGTATACTGGTTTTAGTTTATTCTCATACTGTATTCTTTAAAAAGATGTTCTGTGTCACAGGCATCCTCTCTCCAACCATGAAATCCACCTTTCTCATTAGGATATGGAAACAAAGTGTGACCAGCTTTTCCCAACCAGAGGCTTCCTACAGTGCTTTCTGCACGTCTGTGCTTTGTAAATATATCGTGAGGGTGTAAGTGTCTGTTGTGCTGCTGTCACTAAGTTTTCCTTGATTTCTCCTTGATGACGGCCTTCCTGAAGTCTTAAAGTCCCTCTGGTCTTAACTGGTTAGAGGGAAGTATGACGAGACTCAATGCAAGTTCCAGACAGTAAACGGCGGCAGTGCTGGTGAGCGAGCTGTAGTAAGTTACGGCGCTCCTTTCTTGTGGGAGGTGAACCTCAGTCTCTCCCTACTGCCGTGCTGACGATGTGGATGATGAGTCATTCTGAAGATGGGTTTAGTGAACAGAGCAGTAAGAAGCTCATAAAGAGAGAAATCTGAATAATCATACTTTGGGGAAAGCAGTGACCCTTCAAACACCATTCCAGGAAAGCTGTGTACCCCATCCTCACAGCAAAAACTAAGCCTGCATGTATCTCAGACAGAGGCACAGCTGGAAGATTGTTTAAAGTGTGTTAAGAGGCAGAACGCAAGGTCAGTTTCTTTTGGATGGGATCTAGATGAGTTTCAACAGCAAACTTAATGCAGTCATCTGCAAAGGTGGGCTTGTCTTGGGTTTACGGATTCTTAAGAACCTCTTTAACCAAGAAAACCCGACATTAAAAAATCCTGGCATCTCCTCCTTGTATTCATGTGATAGTGCACAGCAGGCGTTGCCTTACTGCACTTGTCCCTCACCATTGACTAGATCCTGTCTCTGGTTGTTAGGTGGGTTTTTACCCGTAGAAGCACGCGGATATAGAGCTGTTTGACCACCTAGTCTAAAAGACCAAAGCGCTGACCCGCGTCCTTCCTCGGTCCTTACTGAACCCCCGGCCCAGGAATATGGGCTGGGTTGAGAGTCTGGGCTGAGGATGTTAAAAACAGGGTGAGAGGAAAGCTCTGGTGCTCACAGCAAACACTGGAAATGGGAGATGAAAAGTCACAATATGCCATGGAGATAAATGTGTTTTAGGGAACGTGACTTGTCTGCTTTTATAATTCCAAATGGAAGGTAATTTCATAACGCATTGGATTTTGAAGCACTTTCAGAAAAAAATGAACTCAGACCTTTCCGTCTCAGGTATCCTGGGAGCTGAGGAAGGCGGTGTGTTTGTAGTCGTCAGTGCTCCTACCGGAGTCACAGGTGCTCACTTCCAGAGGGCTTCTGCTATCTTGGAGAACGCAGAGTTGGAGTAGCGAGGAGTGCTGTAGCTGTGAATGAGCAGTGCCAGCACATTGTGTGGAAAGAGCATTTCCCAACCAAGAGCTATCTGTCTCCTTGCAGCAGTCCGCTTTTACTGTCCTCAGACTCCCACTTTGCGGGCGACAGTTAACTGCAGGATGCAGCAGGTCGCTGGTGTACTCGCACTAGAGCGGCTCCTTCGGGCACTCTGCTGTTCTGCTGTCACGACTGTTCACTGGCATCAGGAGAGACTGTCCCCATAGTTTGCAGCCTAAACGAGGGCAGAGGCAGCAGCTCAGTCTCAAGTTCCTTAACGCCATTCAAAACTTCCAGTGTTACTTGAAAAAAGTGACTGAGTTCAAATACACTTTTTAAGAAACTATCTTTTGCTTTAATTAAAAAAAAAAATCAAGCTAAGGGGAGGGAAGGCAGCAGGAGCAGTGGAGTTCGGATAAACCAGCTTCTTCCAGGTTTCTGTAGCTGTTCATCAACAGTAAAGGTAACCTGTCTTGTCTCTTTTTAATCTCTTGCAGGAAGTCCAAGGGAAAGCCAAATGGTAAAAAGCCAGCACCAGAGGAGAAGAAACTTTACCTAGAGCCAGAATACACAAAATCCAGAATTACTGACTTCGAATTTAAGGAGCTAGTGATGTTACCACGAGAAATAGACCTCAACGAGTGGCTAGCCAGCAACAGTGAGTATGGTGATCGTACAGCTCTGAGCTTGCCGCCCACACCCAAGGAGGCATTCGTTCCCTCGGTTTCTTTTTACTGTTTTCAGTGCTTAGAAAAACACTCAGTGCCTATTTATGCTTGCTGCATAATGCATGTCATTACACCTTGAATAGCAATTAAGCTGTCTGACGTGCAAACCAACTGGGCTCAGCAGCAGGGAAGCCTTGGTGCGTTTTCTCCCTCCAGCTCCCTCGCTGTGGCACTGAGGGCATTAAAGGTTTTGATGCTTTTTGGAGGACCCTCAGATGTGACTGCTACACCGGCTGGTTCAGCATGTTGCTGACTCAAGCTATGGGTCTTCCAGAAGTGTTGTAAAAATGGTCGTTAACGTAAAGCAAGTTATGCCTAAAGCCAGAACTTGCGGAGTCTTTTGGTTGGATTTCTTCTCCCCACTCCCTCCAAGCTGTGGTGGAATTACTGTGAATTTAAGCTGTAGCGAAGCCAGAACTGGGACATGTGCTGACTGCCGTGGCTGAATGCTGTGTCGGTGCGTCTCAGTCCTGATTCACAGTACTCCCCTGTGCTGCTGCTTCACCTGCCAGTCCGAACCTGCAGCTACAACCCAGTCTGTCAACAGTACGTGGTATAGCAATGAAGCTACTTTAAACTGTGCACTAGGAGAGTTTATAGAGACTCATTAAGAAAAAGTGAGGTGCCCCTACTGAGGAGTATTAAGATGTTAAATCATTTCAGGAGTTTTTTTAAAAGTAGCAGTATACTCATTTTCATGCTGCTGGTTTTAAAAGGAGGTGTGTCATGAGAACTATTAGTACTGTTTTCTAGCCACTGTGTGTTTTAAGTCTGACTTCAAAAGAACGTAGCAAATTGTTTGCCTTCAGCTTGTAGTAGAGTAGTCTGCTGTAAAGGTGAGGCTGATGACGGGAACACTTTCCAGTCTTGCTGCTTAGTGAGTAATAAGGCTGATGCATCATGGTGCTTTCATCTTAAACCAAAACAAGAGCTTTCATTCTATGTACCTCTTTGTTTTGCGGTTCATCATTAGACTCATTGAGCTAAATCATGTTTAAATTTGTATGCAAGCTCAAGACTCTGAGGTCACTTCACTTGCTCCATTTAAATAATTGTCTGGAGGATAACCAGTGTTGGAAAGTATTTTACTTCTGAATTTCTTTCCTTTGTGTTTATTTTTCAGCAACAACTTTCTTTCATCACATCAACTTACAGTATAGTACAATCTCAGAATTCTGTACGGGAGAGTCCTGTCAGACCATGGCAGTGTGCAATACGTAAGTCAGTGTTTACGATTACACGTTTCCTTCAGTTCTTCAGAGGTGCTTGGGGGAGGATGTTAGTACTGGATGGCATGGGGCAGGTGTTTCACCGCAGATCTCTACTGAGTGAGAACGTGGCAGCTGTACGTCCTCTTCTCTCCCCTCAGCAGGGAAGGGTGGTGGAAAGAAGGATCAGAATCTCTGACTGTTCTGAGCTGGTTTTATAAGGTCAGATCAGAGAGACAAATTACCGTGTGTGCAGCTCGGGGGGAGAGGGAAAGGAGAGCAAGGCAGAACTGCCCTTACTGGTGGTAGTGCTGGGATCCCTTAGAAGGCCGGGGAGGATGAATGCATTGCGAAAGCCTCAGAGGGTGCTTTTGATAGCTGGAATGCTGACAGAGCACCAGGCTGCTGACGGATAACCTCTAGCCTGACGTGAGCCACTGGCTTTCTGCCCGAGCCCTTGGGCACAGAGGACACAAGTGGCAGCTTTGCAGAGAATAAGGAAAACGTTTTGGTTTGGCACTTTTCCCCGTAGGACTTAGCAGACTTTTTTAACATTGAGTAGCTGTCACTTGTGAAAGAAAGCTTTGTAGTTTTACTGTACATGGTGAATATAAGAAAAAGTTACCATAAACTCCTGCTCTTGATTAGCACAGTCCAACATGATGGAATATGAGATCCAGTCGAGTATGAATAAGCCTGTTGTGTTGTGGGGTTTTTTCTCCAGCACATGTGTTGATAGTCCTTTTCTTCCCTCCTCTTGCATTTCCTGGGATTAATTTAGTTGAGATGGATTCTAAAACTGCTCAGAAGACTGAGCAGTTAATGTTATAGTACATCAAACAAACATGCCGGGGAATGTATCCAACAGAACCAGAGCTCTGTATTGTATCTCTAACAGTAATTATGTAGTGCTTAGAAAGGAATCCTCGCTTAATGTACTGGGCTGTCTTGCACACTTGAAATGAATATGGGGGGCTTTCCTTGGGAGCACTCTGAAGAATGCAAAGCGTACGGGGGATATTTTTGCATTTAAAAGTTGGAAGGATAACTGTCAGTAGAAAATTAAAGGCCATGCCAGGGACTTTGAAAGCAGGCTGGAACAGAAAGTAATAAATCTCTGCTGGACCCAGATTTTATCAAGAGGAGACAGCATGTCTGTAAATGAGAAACGGTGATCAGCAAGATGAGTATTCTGTTGACTCTTGGTCCCAAGCTTTCTCGTGTTTTAACTCCTGATGTAGCACTGGCTATCCAAAGGACAGTTTAACTGTTCATCCACTTGGCTGATGGGAAATAGTGGCTAAAAGGAGGTGGTGGTGGTAGGGAACTTACGTCAGTGTCACTCCATTCTGCTCTAGTGAGTGTTAAACAAGAGTTCTCTGTAAGCAGTTCATGCTGCAGAAGAAAGAACGGAAGTGCCTGTAGGCGGCTCCAGCTGTAGTCTGTATTTTTAGTGGTGAGGACCAATAGCAGAATGTTCCTGTCCTTTGTTTTGGAAAACTGAAATATTGCAGTAGTTGGGAATAACAGGAAGCATGCCTGCACTTGGATGAAGCACTGAAACGGTCTGTGTTAGGTAAATCATAACAGCTCAAGTCTCTTCCTGTCCTCGGGGGCAGATGGCTGGTTCGTGTTCACAGGCTGTGTGTTTCGTTCTTCTAGCAAGCGTGTGGGTCTGTGAAAAACCCACAGAGGTGAGATCACCTGGCTACCCACCCCAGTACAGCTCAGCTGGGAAGGGCCTCTTCATACCCGTGTTCTCCAAATATCTCTATGATAATTTTGGGTAATTCTTGTCTCTGTGTTCAGCCTGTCATAGCTCTTCCCTTTTGGAAGGGAGGTGCCTAAATGGAACATGGCAAACTGCCTCCAAGATGCTCGTTTTTTCATACCTGATTATGACTGACAGCAGTACGTCGCTTCCCCACCCCCCTTCTGGGTTGTTTTTTTTGTTTGGTTGGTTTTTTAAATCTTACCCTAGGGAAGTAAGGTAAGAACATGCTTATTGTGTTGGAGAAACACCCCTTGATGTGATTTATTGTGCCTGTGACTCATTTGCAGTACACACAGAGTACCACCTTCATCCCATTAGAGTCAGTTGCTGGTTAACCTGACGCACACTCCACATTTGACCACCTGTGGCTGTGATCAGTTTGTTGAGGTCCTTTGGAATAAAATAGCACCTACCTGTGTTAGATCACCACAGAACTACAGTACCTGTTTGCCACTTCTGTCAGTGCCCATTTCCTGGGTAGTTCAGTCGGAAGGTCTGCATTCTGTTCCTCTTTTATGTTTTCCCTGCCCAGTTCTGTAAGGCTTTTGTTTTGGATCACACCATTCTGGTCGCACCTAAGGCAGGCCTTTCGTATTCGTGGTGGAGATGTTGAAGGAACTGTTGAGAACAGGTTGCTTGTCAAGTTACTTTGCATTCAAATGCACTGCAAATAATCCTAGATTTAGAGGATTTGCTGGCAAAATAAACACCAGTTGCAGTTAAATATTTGAGGCAAGGTTTTAACATCTCAGAGAAGCTCCAGCCAACTGACAAACTGCAGACAGATGCAGCTTTCAGCCCTCTGTCAGATACATGAGATAGCACAGCCATCTGCACACAACGAGAGAATTTCTGCTTGGGGTCACTCAGAGACATCTGACCAAAACTTAGTCTCCTTGTAGAACAGATGGAAGCATTTGCTGGCAAGGTGGGACAATGCCAAGAGAAATACCAGAATGGCCAGTTATCTTCAAAATTTAATGAGGGTGGCATGAATGTAACTTTGGGAATTACTTAATTTTGCTCATTAATACTTTTATCACTTGCTGTAAACCAGGTACTATATTTTCAACACAATATGGACTATTTAGATTTAGTATGCTTTGTAGGTTATTATTACACAAACTAGCTTTAAAGCACCAGGAGCTCTAAACTGGTTTTCTAGCTGGCATTTGGGCAAAACTTCTCGAAGTGCTGAATTGAGTGCAGTAACTAAGAGCCTATGTAAGTGCTGTTCACAAGGCTGAGATTACAGAATTCCTGAGGCAGAAATTAAGGATGGAGGCAAAATTCTAGACAGCCCACAGAGAAGAGTGGAAGGTCTCATTTTCATCCAGTGAAATCCCTTAATTGAGAATTCCTTGTCATTTTTTCTAATCTTACAATCTCATTTCTCATGTCTACCTTGCCCTTAGACTAGTCTCTGCATATGGCAGGTATTTCCTTCTAGAATTAACTCAAACTTGCGTGTTTTGCATTTTCTTATATTTTAAGTTCCCCGAGCTGTATGCTTCTACATGGTGGCTCCTTTCTCTTCCACACCGCCCACCCGCCCCCAAACGTTGCTTTGCCCCCATGAAGCCATCAAAGCTACTCCGAGTTGCTGACAGACACTCAGTTACTGCCCTTGCACTGGATCCCGTGTGCTGCCCTGCCTTCTTCGTAACCTGTCTTTTGGCAGGACTGTCTCTCCTTCCTTTCCAGACCACATAATCTCCCCAGCATTTGCCTTTCCCTCCTTCCAGAAGCTTTTCTTACACACTGATGTGACTTCAGTTCTGCCTTGGCTTCTATGTCATCAGCACAAACCCAGGCTGGTTTAGAGGAGAAGTGTGCATGTGTGTTAGATGCAGCACTGTGACTCCATCTGTGTTACACTTTATTATTTGCATCATAGGCTTTTCTCTGTTAAACCCATAGTCATTTCTCCCTGGGATTTAGAATGGAGCTGCAGATTCCTCATACTCTCCATACTGGGGAAGTTTAAATCTGCCAGAATTTGGCACAGGAGATGAAATAATCAAAGTCTGTGTCATGTGAGCACTTTTTGAAAAGTGCCTTTAAGTGTCATTTTCTTGCCCTTTCTGCTTCTCACCCGTTGCCTGGTACAGGACTGTACTGTCACAGTGCCACTGGGGGAATGCAGTTCGGCTTCTGTGCCCAACCGAGCCCTTCAATGGCCCCAGCCTGCTTCCAGTCTGGTTAACGGAGAGGACTCCAGCATGGGCGGGAGCTGCGTACCGGGTGTGAGAAGTTCACGGCCTGTCCAGGGCTCCTCTTGTCCTCCAAGGCCTGTGAAGTATTCAGAGCACTTGAAACATGAGGAAGACACATGATTGTAATCAACAGGACAGTCCTTGTAGTCATCCCTGTACTCTTAATGATTCTTCTTCTAAATCTTGTTTTACATAATTAGCCTAATTTTCAAGGAAAGGCAAAAAGGGTACACAGTGGGATGTTACAGCGGATTTATTCACTTAGATTTTCATGTAAGTGACTTTGTACAGTTGCCAAACTGTTTCTTTTAACTAAAATGCAGTTATTCAGATTCATTTTTGCACCTAAGGGCAACTCTAAACTGTACTTTCTATGTGGCAGTTGAGGATTTCTGCAGCATGAGGAAACTGCTGAGGTACAGACAGTCCAGCCTGCTTCTGCTCTTGGCAACAAGTGTTGTCGTAAGCCCCAAAATAAGTCCATGTTGCCTAGAACTGTCTTGCCTCAGCCTACTGCAGCACTGGACAAATGAGGTGGCTCGTGTTTGTGCACTACATTGTATAATTCCTTATATGTGGATCGTGTAAAGGAAGTAAGCAGGGATGGAGGACGTGATCTATGCCCAAGGGCCCAAATGCTAGTTTTGATGCCTGCCATAGTTCTGCAAAGAGCTTTTAACTCCTGCTGTTTTCATACACTTGCTCACCTTTTTATGCCCTTTTGCAGTCAGTCCTGCTCTCTAGTAAACAACGGTGATCAAGCACATGCTGAAAATGAGCTGAAAGAAAAAAATCTGAATCTTAAGTGTCTGCAGAAGTAGTTTTCAGTTGCCCTTCCTCTCTTAAAGTTTGAACTGCTCATTTCTGCAGCTTCCTCTTGTTTTCATATGGCTTGAGGCATGAACAGTGTCATTAGTGTCCTTGCCTCACTGCCCTCAGGTCCCTGAAGAGTCTTTTGGGGCAATAAAAACACATTGTAAATTAAAACTTCTCAAATGCTACTGAACATTTTTCTTTAGTTGCTTCAGGACTGCTCTGCTGGTCAGTAGACAATAAAGTGTCACTTTCCAGTGGGAAGTGTAGATCCTTCCAGTTCAATGCAGTCTAGTCCTGTTAGGCACAGAAAAAACACTTAATCTTCCATCTTTAAGGTGTCTGAACGTCGCACTACAGCTACACTGAGGCTTGTTCAGTGCTTGGTTGAGGAATGTCAGGTAACATGTCACTGGCCAACAGCAGCAGAGTTGGAGCTGAACAGACAGGCCGAAAACGGTACCCTGGCTTTAGGGGCTCGTGTGTTGGGCGAGGTGTCTTTCTAGCCAAGTTCTGATGCGCACACCACTTCCAGCCTTGCTTCCAAAGGCAGGCAGCAAACCCCACCTGTGCTGTGTTCCGGGAGGACCCAATACAGTGGATTTTGTATCAGTCCCATAATGATACAGGACTGTGCCTGGAGCTTCGGCTGTGTGAAGGGAGAGTTCAGGAGCTGGAACTCAAGACACCTCTAATGTGACATAGGCCAAAAAAAAAAAAATCTGCTGTTCTGTAAAACGTTTCTCACTGTGTGTGCCTAATGCGATGGATAGCTGCTGCTGGTAACAGAAGTGCTTTAATTAACCATGGCTTAACAAAAAAACCCCACTGTACCTTCAGTGCTTTTGCAGCCTGCAGATTCTCTCTCAGGTGAGGGATGGTTGCAGTTAATCAATCAAGATGATTATGGCTAACTGTTTGAATTAGGGTTGCTTTTGAAGAGCCAGGCAATATGCTAATGTCTCCTGTTCCTTAAGATCCCACAGGATGATTCACTGGTGGCAGAGTCAAATGTAAATTCAGATGTTTGGGGGAGTGTGTAACTGTAACCAGAGGAGCAGAGGGCTAAGGCACGCTGGTAGGGAGGTGCAGAACGGTCCTGAAAACTTTTCCCAGATCGGGTTTTGGAACAGGATTCGTAGTGCTTAAAAATGCTGCCAGCACCAGCTTGAGAAAGGTGGTGTTTCGGAGCCACCTTCTGTCTGCCTGACAGTACTACACCACAAGACTAACTGGTTTGTGACGTTAAGCATCACCATTTATCACTGTGCAACGCTGTTGCCCTTTAAAAACAGGTAGGTAATGCTTTCCTGTGCAGTTCTATAGCCTGTAGGTGACCCCTCAGTCCTTCACGGAGAGGGAGTGACTGCTGCCTCAGTAGCGCTCCTCTCCTTGGGGACTTCTCAGCAGGCTTTCTGTGCTGCATGCTGCTACCTGCACTCTTGACTAAATTGATAGGGAGAAACAAAATCAGCTCACAGAAACTCAAGTTTTTTGATGTAGAAAGATACCCTAAAGTGAGTCTCTGCTGTAGCAGCTGTTGTTTTATATTATTTAGCCACTAACTTCTTTGAGGAGCAGAGCTGAGGAGCCAAGGTGTAATGCGGTGACACTGTCCATTCTCTCCACAGACAGTACTACTGGTATGACGAGCGGGGAAAGAAGATCAAGTGCACTGCTCCTCAGTACGTTGACTTCGTCATGAGCTCAGTGCAGAAACTAGTGACAGATGAGGACGTCTTTCCAACGAAATACGGTATGGCTGCTTTTGGACAGACAGTGCTTCGCAGATGCCAGAAGTCAGGTGGAAGCTGGCATTCAGCATCTGTGTTAGTACCTAATACTGGACAGCTTTGTCACCTGTTTGATGTTCTGGTTTTTGGCTTTTGTTTTTAAGGGAGATTTTAAGTTTGGTTCATTCTTGCAGTAAGAAAAACTTGCATTGTTGGCACATGAACTGGGGTGAAAGTCACACAATCCTGTCCCTTTGGCTTGTATTTCATCAGCAGCACGTCTTCAAGCATTTTGAGATCTTCTAGCCTGTATTCAGAGAGGATAAACATTTGAAAACTGTCAGCATGTGTGTTCAGTACAGCTGCTAGTAAAATGTAACCTTGTTGTTGTTTTACTGTTTCCTTTAGAGCCCCAACACATTAAGAGGGAAAGCAATCTGATTGCCAGGAATGTGGCTTGTCTTCCTTGCCCCACCAGGCCTTGTGTCACAGATTGTTTGCAGCCTCCCTTCCCTTCCAAAGGTTAAATAAGAATGTGATTTTTAAGAACTGAAAAGCAATAGCAAAGTAATTTTAACTCAAATTTGTATCCTAACAAGACTGCTACATGCAATGCACTTGGTTATGGGGAAGAAAATAGAGACCTGAAGTTATTGTAGGGGGCTTAATAAGGACTAAGAGCAGCTGGCTTCGTGAGCCACTGCAACCGGTAGCTGGGCACTAGGACATCACGGTACAGTGCACGCTGGGCCTTGGCCTACACGTGTCTGGACGTGCGGAGAGCCAGCGCCGAGTGAGCCAGCGCCGAGTGAGCCAGCGCCGAGTGAGCCAGCTGCAGTGGACTCTTTTTTCAGTAGGCTTGTTGAAGGGCAACAAGGGCAGCTCATGCAAGTGATTTGTCCGTGTAGCCACGGTGCACCCAGAGCAGTAACCTGCTGTGAACTGTGCGTCACACGTGGGACAGTGGGTGTTTCTCGCTTGCCTCACTGTCACGTTCAGTGCTACCGCAGCAGCTGTCCAGGGACGGTCTTTACTGTGCAGGGGCAGCACTGCGCCAGCGCGCGCCACTTCAGCTGCCCCGACAGAAGGCACCAGTATGTCCTTCCCTTTCTCTTCCCATTTGATAGAACTTCAACAATGCAGGGAGGGAAGTTGCTTTAGAGTTAGTCAAACGGCTACACGCTGCCAAGGCCCCTATACCTTAGCTTCCATTTCAGGATCTGTGAATGGGTCTCCCAAGCATTATGTACTTCCAGGGGAACCTTTGCTACTCCTGGACAAACTAGATAAGGACCCAGAAGAACCTCTCATGATTTTTACAGCCAGTGACAAAAAATGTTGTGGTTTTAAAGAATGATTACACTTGCTTTCTGGGGTTTTTTGAACCATTAGGGTTTAAAACTAAACTTCAAATGAAAATGCTTAAAACCTCCGTAGCTTCTTCCCCTAAATTCCTGTAAAAAGAAGAGGAGGATACAGGGCCCAGTAGTTGTCTGCTGTGTAAGGTGGGCTGGTTGCTCTGGCCCACAGCGCAGACCGGACGAAGGTGAGCAGCTGGAGCTATCACGGTGTTTCTCCATCTTCCTTTCAGGCAAGGAATTCCCAAACTCATTTGAGTCCCTAGTGAAGAAGATCTGCAAGTATCTGTTCCATGTGCTGGCCCATATCTACTCCTCACACTTTAAGGAGACTTTGGCACTGGAGCTGCACGGACATTTAAACACACTCTACACACACTTTATCCTATTCATCAGGGAGTTCAACCTCGTGGACCCTAAAGAGACCACCATCATGGATGACCTCACAGAGGTCCTCTGCAGCAGCAGCGGGAGCAGCAGTAACGGGAGCGGCAACGGGAGCAGCAACAGCGCAGGAGCACAGAACCACGTGAAAGAGAGATGAGCCCTGCTACAGGATCAAAACTAACATTAAAAACAATATTATATATTCTGTGTGTATGTATATGTTCAGATATACATACAGACATATACAGCAAGGAAAGCTGAAAGGAGTTACGCTGCGACCGCAGGAGGTGTGCCGGGACGGACTGCACGGAGATTTGGTTTAATGCGCCACCTGGCGAGAAGTTGCACCAATTTTATTTTATTTTCTGTCCACTCCTCCTCTTACTTACGCAGATGGATGATGAGTGCTGTTTTTAGAGAAGAGCCAAGCCTGAGAGTGGGGCCACTCTTGGTTTTCTTTGTTTTGTTTTGTTGGTTGGTTGGTTTTTTGTTTTCCTTTCTTTGGTCTTGAGTGCAAGCCGTTGTCTTTCTAGGATGGTGGTCCTGCCATTTAAAAAATATCTATTATATTATAAGAAGTGACTTTTACTTTGAAGTGGCTTAAAATGCAGGTTTGTTTGGGTTGGGTTTTTTTTTTGGGGGGTGGGGGTGGTTTTTTGATTCGGTTTTACATAGACTGCCCCTTACCCTGCCAAGAACTCCCCAGTTGAGTGCATTTTGCCCTTTGTTAGCTTGGAATGGGAAGAAACTCCTGGCTTGACTGGAGCAGCAGCTAGGGGCTTGCCACATGTTGAAAGTGGGCATGATTGTCCAGTTGTCCCATCACCCTGGTCACAACATGTGACCATGCAAGAGGATCCACAAGCCTTTCTGCTTATTGCTCCTACAACATATATTCTCTTTTCTCTGCTCCCCTGCCTCCTCTTTTCCCAGGCACACCTCTACAAATGGAAAGGGTAAGGGAGTCCAAAACCCATGTGCAAGAGCCACCACCATTTGCTTCCCACTGAACAGAGGCCCAGGGAGGGGGGAGAAGGGTACATTGAGTCAGTCACCGCCTGTGCTAGAAAGATGGCTGTTGGCATAAAATTATATTGTTGGCTTATTTTAGTTCATCTGTTCTATAATAATAAAAACAAATCTATTGGCCACAAGCTTTGTTTTTGTGTTTGCAGCGTCAAAAGTCAGTGGAATCACCCATACAGCTTCCTTTTCACCCCTGCATGCTGTCAGCCAGCTTTATAGGTAACTGTTTGTGTTCCACCCTGTAATCTTACATTTATAATCAATTCCTTGCTCTTTCGGGTGGGGCTAGGAGTCTTCTCCCCAGGTAATGTGAAGATAAGCAACACTTGGAAAGGAGCAAGTTTCTGTTTGTACATACTTAAATCCTGTAGATGCAGTGGGCTCCTGTATATTTTGCAGGAAATATTGCATCCTATGCTCTGTGGATACGGTAGTGTATCACTGTTGTATCTGGACAGGGATACTACTCTTTCCTTCACATTTCCACTGAATTCTTGCAGTCAGCGGTTCCAGTTGGGAAAATGCTGAATTTTGCTTGCAATTGTGCTTCTATCAGACCTGTGGCAGCCTCAGCATTGTTTGTTACTGGTTTTGGTCATTATCCTGAGGTATATATGTGATTAATAACTGACGTGGCTTGCATCCTAGAAAGTTTTCCTGAAAGAGGTCTGTAACTGTAGTAAAAGTCAGGAGAGAGAGGGAGAGGAGAGCAAATGCAAAGAAAAAAGGAGAAGGAAAAGCATAAGCAGGTGGAAAAAAAGACAGTAAGAAAAAAGCAGAAGCAAGAAGTGTGCAAGAGCAACAATAAAGGAAGAAAAAATGTGCAAGCAAGGAAAGAAGAGTAAGAAGTCATAAAAGTAAGAAAAGAGCAAAAAGGAGAAGAGAGGAAAAAAATTACCTCAAACTTTGTGAGCCCAGACTTGCCCCATGTTGGTTGTTCCCAGATGCTGGGTACCCTGTGAACCCGCCCGCAGGCAAACGTGCTGGAGTCTCCCTGACCTGCTCCTCTGGGGGCTGTTAAGACGGGCTGTTGAAGAGCACTCTGTGCCCACCCTGTCCTGCTGCGGCCTCCACAGCCAGACCAACATTCCCATTCAGTCTCCGTGCAGGCTGACGCGAGCCTTTCCATTCCAGTTCCCTGCACTAATGCCTGGCGGGAAAACCAGAGGCCAACAAAAACCAGAGGCCCCGGTGCTACTTGCAATGAGAGCATAGGGTACAGTTCAAGGGAAGAGAGGCAAGCACAACCACCCAAACCCACGTGCTTCTGGTAATCTAGTATCTACTTGTAGAAATGCAATTGCAATCAATTCTGAAAGGCCCTTTAGAAAGGATACTCAGTTGAGAAAGGTTTGACTTGAACAAGGGGCAGTTCACTTCTCTCTGGAAAGACTGACTTAGCTACAACTCTAAGTTTCAGCTCACAACACAGCGATACCTGTATCAAATGCAAGGGTGATGATACCTTAGCTTCCCATAGGAGAACTGACAGAACGCTGTAGGAAACCTGGGAACCCATGTATGTATTGTTGAAAAGCAGCAAACCATTAATTCAGCTACCAGAAGAGTGAAGGACCACATCACCTCTAGAAGAGCCTGCTGTTGTGCATGGCAGCTGTCCTGAGTTTACTCTGCAGACATTTGATACTCCTGAAAGCGCAGACGCTTCATCTGGGGGTAATCTTTTTATATTTTACAAGCAGTTAACAAGAACACAAATCATGAATCCTATTTTAATGTGACCTACCTTGCTGGGTTTAGCAGTGGGAATAAGGAAAACACTGAAATAGCGCCAAGACTGAAGTTCTTCATGTCAGGAGTAAATGTTACTGTAAAACTCAGCCTCAAAGCGCCCAAGCATAGCTCAGAGGTTACGGAATTGTGCTGTAGTAACATTAGATACAGACGTGCCACTAAGTCTTCAAACTGCTTGGTAAACGCTGCTGAAGCTCGTCAGTGACTTTCTACGCTTGCAACACGTCACTCACTATTCGCACTGTAAGCACTGAGGCTGAATCCCCCCGTATCTAAAAGACTTGGGTCCTCTAACACTGCAGAAATTGTCATATTGCTGCTCTAAAGGTGTTTTGTGAATTGTTTAAAGCACTGGCAGAACAACAGGGGCACCTTCGTTATGCAACATTCAATGCCTCCCCCCCTTAAAGATCATATAATGTACCATGTACCGTTGTTTAAGGGTTGCTAAATAAATTAAAAAAACACGAAACACTCCAGAAAAATTACCAAACACTGCTAGAAAACACCTATCTACACCCACCCCCACCCCCCAATGCCTTTTGAGACCTTGCCTTGTCAAACTCTGCTTTACCTCTGCCATTGCAGAACCTCTAACCACCCTTCAGGCCCAAAACCGTGGCAATGAACACGTGCTGTCACAGGGCTAAGTCCTTCTCCTAAAACCAACAATAGCCATACGTATGTTTTGGTGCTCTGGACACCCAAGTGATGTGTTGAAGAGCTGAGGTTGCATAAATTTATAGCAGTGGGGTGAAGCAAGCTGAAACCTCCCTCCTGCCCCGTTTTGTCATTCTCAGTAAGTCCCTGAGGCTGCAGCATCCTTAGGCAATCCAAGCATAAGTGCCTGTAAATAAAAACCAGGAGGAAAATAACGTCTTCATACATGCCACTGGACTAATACTGCCAGCAAGTACACAAGCGCCAGGTCAGCAGCTTGTGTCCATTACATGGGCCACCTCTGGCCATTCAGGACCAGTGCCACCGAGTCTCTCACGCAGAGAAACAGCCACCTTCAGCTTTGACCTCCAGGCGGTGAAGCTGTGTAGAGATCACAGGACCAGCATTGCCACAGGCCTAAGAAAGGTCCTGAAGTGGCAATCCATAAATTGAGTCAAGCATCTTCTACTTCAGCCCAGCAAATCAGCACTACACCCTTCTTTCTGCCCTGAGAACTGCAGAAAGTTACCAAGTCAGAGCCCACAGAGCACGCTCATTTTATATACAAATAACAACCTCTTAACCAACAATTTTAAGAAAGTTGACTTTGCTTCTTATGGAACACTTTTCTGACAAGGAGAGAGATGTGTCCTGGCTCTGAGGTACCACGAGTTCTGGCCACATGCGCATACCAAGGTGCTCCTGGAAGTGACAGGGACTAAAGGTGGGTGCTGCCAGGTAACAATTAGCTCCTGCACATCAGCAGGAGCCTGCAAGACTGTCACAAAAACAGGCAAGCCCCTAAAGAACAAGCCAACTTTGTGAGCGCTTACGAAGAATGCTGATCTCATACAGAGCCACACTTCATGAGACAAGCCCTTACTCACATCTGGCACGTAACTTATCCCAGCCAATCCTTAGCTCACCACTTCAGCTGTTAACTGGAAGACCTGAATACAGAAATACTCTTCCATTATCTAAACTGAGGACAGAGGAATAGGTTGTTTTATTCTGTTCAAACCTACTGCACAAATGAAAGCAATGTTCGTTTCTGTAGCACAAATGGCAACACCAGACAGTTTAAATCCCATTCAGGTGCCTGGGTGCTGGCAGTAGTTACAGCACAGCGTTCGGTGTGGCTAAGTTATCCACACTGTGCTGTATTAGTGCCCGAATACAAGCTCAGTACCTGAAGGATTCAAAGAAGACAGCCCTGGTACCTTTACATGTATGCAGTATAGACAAATCCCAGTATTCCCAATGGAACTGATGGTACAAAGTGAGAAAAACACCAAAGAGCTGGCAACCCCCCCCTCAGTGTGCTAATGGGGTCTCCATTCTTTTCATGGACAGAACTCCTGTTCTGGCTGTGACAGCTGACAAGAACAATAAGACTTTTCAAAGCTAGGTTAGCACGTGACCTGGAGAAAACAGAAATTGTTGTGGCCAAGTGCTCAGATGAGAGAACGTTTCAGAGACCTTTGTCTAGCCAAAACAATAAAAAGAGCCTCACTGCTCTGTCCTCATCTGCTAATTGTTTTCATTATATCTAGAAATGGGGCATTAAAATACTCTGACACTTTCCCATACACCAGTACAGATAACATTCTCTCACAAAGTAGTGCAGGGTCCCTTACCTAAAACTCCTTTCAATGGTCTCTGGGCTAATTCAAAAGAAAGGGCACAAAGAGCCTGGGCTAGCCAGCCTTACTGCTCAGTGGAGAGCAACCCCCTGCAACATCAGCTCAGCTACAGGAAGGTCAAATGCCATCTCACAAAGGACTTTGGCTTCTGTGAAACCACTGCTTCACCCTGACATCAGTAAGGCTTAGAAGAGACTTGCCCTGAAGCAAGTACTGCCCTCAAGGACCGCAAAAGGAAACCTAAACGAGGAAAACAAACTGGTCCTTGGCACCAGTCACTAATTTAACTACCACAGTGAACCAGTAAAATGGTCCTGGCTTCCCCAGAAGGGCTTTAATGCCGGTGTACAAGGAGTTGAAAGCGAATCCTCAGCCTGATAAAGAAACGACAGGCTGCACAGCTCTCCAGCACCACATACTCATTAGACCCCATACAGCCACACGGCAGTTACAGAGACCCGTTCTGCTTCTTTCTGCATGGACTGAATTCCTTTAGGAAAGGCTGACACTTGAAAGCTGTGTTTCCAAGCAGATGAGATTTCCTAAATGACTTTTTTTCCCCCTTCTTAATTGCACTTGACCAAGTATCAAGCACAAAAACCTGACTTCCATAGGATTCATTCCCAAATCATCTCAAGAAATACTCTTTCTGTTTCTAAGCACAAAGCTTACAGAGCAGTTTGGGCAGAAGAGCTAAGTCTCCCATATAAAGACTGGTAGACAATGAGATACCTATTAATACAGAAATTAATCCCAATGCTCCATCTTGGCCAACCTGGGTTTTTTATTAAGTTTTATTGCAAGCTAAGGCTAGAGTCTTTTACTGTTTCTGTCATGACAGAGTGCAGAGAGGCAGACAGTATGTCTGGTTTTGGATGACTAAATCTAAGGGGTAATTTTTACTTTCCAAGGTGAAAATACATTGATTTTTAAAGCCTGCTGTAACAAATTTGGGGACACTGGTATTGCAGACAGCCAGAATACTTACATCTGCCTATTAAAAGAATTTACTTTTATGAATCAGGAGAACCCTGTGCTTGGCTCCACGTAAAAAGGATAATCCAGAACAG